ATTTTAATGTTTTTTTTCTTTCATGCATGTGTTTCTAACGCATTTATAAGATTATTTCTTTGTTGCTTTGTATGTCCCTCCCCCACAGTATAACCCCTGCATTCACTGTATTTGATGTCAGTATAACTTGTGGAGGAGATGGGGAAATACATGACTGACTTCTGTCTAGTGCTTGAAAGCAACATGGACAAAAGCTCAGTCTTCATTTTGCTGTTAAGTCAGGCTCTAATAAATTGTCCTCGTTTCTAACTTCCTTTTGGCTTCTGGCCTTGGGACCCAAGTCTGGCCATTGTAGTCCCATTGGTGCTGTATTTATGTATGCAACAGGAGAAGTATTTTAGCTAGAAGATTTTCTAGAAGATAGAAAATTCTTCCAAAAATTAAATGGGATATAGTCACAATTGTAAAGGTCACTCTCTGCTGGTCAATCATGTGCTATGCACAAGCAATATCTTATGAAAAATGAGACTGAAAAAGATGTTTCCTAAGTACCAAGACATTTTTCATTATTGGGTGATTTTTTGATGAGCGAATATGTTTTATTTCACAGAGTATTGACAATCACTCCCTCAGTCAGCCAGCTACCTACTTACAGTTTCTGTCATATGTTTAACAACGTTTCAAAGATGACACTTACCTAGAAGAAAGGCTTTAGGTACTAGATCTATGCAGACAAAATTTTGCAATAAAACAGAGGATTTAGGATTGAGTTTGGTCATAGCTGGGAATAAGTGGGTACTTAGAATTGTTTTGAATGGTACAGCTGGCTAATACAATAATTTTGATCCTTATTGGACCAAATGGTTCCAATTGTAATGGCTCCTTTTATGCTAAATTATTTTATTTATATGCTTAGAACATTGCATATTACCAATATATGTTTGCTATATAATTATGAATGGTAAGACTCAAGAGAGATTGACTGAAGATACAGTTATTTTTGAACTTGTATTTCACAGTATGAGGATAAGATGCATTCAAGCTGTTCATTTCATATATAGAGAAAAATACATTTAAAATTAGAATGACATTATTCAGAGTCTATAATTCATGCAGTCCGAAGAGAAATATAAATGGACCATATCAGTGGGTAGAGAAGAAAGTTAATTTCAACAGAACATTTGGTTTTAAAATATTTCTATGTAAGAACATATTTTTAAAAAGGATGGAAGGAGGGAAGGGAAGAGAGAGAGGTTGAGAAAGAGACAGTAAGAGAGACAGGTAGCTGGGCACTGGATTCTAGCTATCTGCTCAAGAAGCTGAGATCTGAGGATCACAATTTGAATCTATCTTGGACAGGAAAGTCCATCTTACTTCCAATTAATGACCAGAAAACTGGAAGTGGCACTATGGCTCAAAATGGTTGAACACTGGCCTTGAGCAAAACAGCTCAGGGACAGTGCACAGGCCCTGAGTTCAAGCCCCACATCTCTCTTTCTCTCCCTTTCCTTCTCCCTCTCCCTCCCCCCCTCTCTCTCTCACACACACACACACACCAACAGTTGAAATTCAGGAACTACCACTAGCATTATCATCATTATTTCTTCACCTTCTAATAAGTCATGATAGACCCAAATTCAAGGCTATGGGATATTTGGTGATGCTCATGAAAATCAGAGGATCCTCCTGAACCCAGCCTGGGTGCTGGCTTGCTGTTTACCCACCTTGGGGCTTGGGGATGGTGGGGCACTGGTCAGTCTACGTGGATGTGCGTTTGCACCTGTGGGTTCAGTGTTGCACTGACAGGAGGTTTGGACTTGGAGTCAGGGAAGCCTCCGGAGCCCCAGCACTAGCTGGCCCTTCATCACAGGGAGGTGACGAGGCTGCTCCACTTTGTCTGCTGCTGCTCCTTTGGGAACCGCTAAATTCTGCTTCTTACCTTTCAGGCTGTTGGTGCCCTCTTTTATCTCACACCCTTCCCATGACTCTTTCTAGAATACAGTGGGCAATACAAGTTTAAATCCTAAGCATTACATTTTATGAGGTTGGTGAATATTGACTTTTATCTTTGCTAGATTGCTTTTCGTCTTGAAGATATCAAAGGGTAGTTGATAATTATACCTCAAATAAAGGATCTGAGCGGTAAAGCTGAGTGGTAGAGTGTGTACCATGCATATATGAGGTCCTAGGTTTGATCTTAACAACCCCCCTCCCAAAGTGTGTAGTTTTGGAATTTCTCCTACAAATTTCCAATACTAATGAGAAGCATTTGATTTCGTAGCGGAAGCCCCCAATGGTGGTGGATGATCTTTTTGAAGATATGAAAGATGGTGTCAAGCTCCTCGCTCTTCTGGAAGTCCTGTCTGGGCAGAAACTGGTAAGGAGTTCCTCTGACTGTACTTGTCAGGTGGTTTCTGTCTAGAATGTGAGGATTGTGAGATTGGGCGCCTTGGGTTGCTGCTCACACAAGAGAAAGTTCTTCTGATTTGTCATTGGTAATACATGCTTACCCGGTTACATGTCTACCTGTCTACTATGTTTACTAGTCTACCTATCACTTCTAGGAAGCAATTTTTCTTTCCTGTTCCTACCAACTGTTTGAAAATACTCTGTTTACAGTGGTAAGAATTTCACCAGCAACCTCAAATGGCTACCCATGGTATCCATTGTATGGTAATCAGCAACATTACAAAATTAACAAAGGTCTCACTTTAAGTGTGTGTTGCCCATTTGAAAAGAATTTCTGTATAATCTGTATAATAGATATTTGTCAAAAAATTAAGCATATATGCAGTGCAACATTTCGCACACTTTTGGTGGTGACCTCTCCCATCATCAATAATTTGGAACAGGATAGAATGTTCAGAGGGGCTTCTTTTATAAACTATGGATGCAGTGGCGTGAAATCCAGGGGACAGTGAGCTATCACTATCAAACATTATTTTATAGTGTGTCCAGTATACTATCAAATAATACAATATTAATTTTTCTTGCTTACGTCTTTTAATTTCAGATTAAGGGAACAGTAAGTAAAAGTGTAAATTACTTATTAACATTGATGGTAATGGGAGACAGAGTTCAGGAGACAATTTTCAGAATTATTTCAGAATGCAGTAGATACAAGTCTCGGGTGGGCAAGATTCTCTTTTTTAAATGCCTTAACCATCATTAGTACTTGTATAAATGCATTTTCAAGAGTATTTTTGCCTTCCCGTGACTGTCCAGTTAGTTTTGTGCAGGGAGTTAGTTTTGTGCAACTTTTGTGGAGGGATTTTTGGGAAAATGTGACCTGATGAGAAGCTTGTGTGAATGATTTAGTAGGAGTCACACTGTAGCAGACGCCTGGTCTCCCTGTGCCCTATCTCAGCTCATGGATGACTTCCGGTGTGCCAGTGGTAGACCTTCCCGCGTGCTGATGGCTCCTCAACTCAGGCACAGGTAGATCGTGCAGCATTGCTGCCTGGCAGCTCTCAAAGGCTGAGCCGGTGGTCCCTAAGAGACCTCAACAAACTGATGAGACTTCATGAATAAATGTCTTAGGCTTAAACATTTAATAGGGGGCATAATTTACACATGTTGCCTAAGGTCCCCAGTAGAATTAGCGCCAGCTGCCTACTGCAGAAACTTCTAGAAGCATATCTTTTGTTGACTTTTCTTCCTTTCTGGTGTCCCTCTCTACTCACCCTCACTCCTGCTACTAAGGGCCACCTCTCCACTAAACTACATGCCCCCCCCCCCCGGTCCATGTGTAAGCTCTGCTTGGGTGACACCACATGTATATAAATTTAGATACATACATATATTTGGTTTAGCTTATTTATTTATAATTTATTTTATCTGTTTATAATTAATTTATAAATTTATTGAATTTATATATGTATATATGTGAATAATCAAGTTGGAATTCTTGGCACATTTTTGAGCTTAAAAACTGGGTAAGCCTTAGGATATGAGAGCATTAAATTGAAATGTATACTCAGTTGGTTTCCTGTATAACCAGCTATCATATTCTTGAATTAAGCTATTCATCTGAAAGTTGAAGAATCTTCATATGGCCTTTCAAGAAGTGTATCTGTTGGGCTGGGGGTATAGCACAGTGGTAGAATGCTTTTGTAGCATGAGGGACCCTGGGTTCAATCTTCTATACTGGAAAAATAATAAAGTATATGTCATTTTAAATATCCAATATAATTTTTTCCATTGTACTTGGCCAATAGTCTGAATTAACCTTGGGGAACATTTACCTGCTGAGCTAAATTACTGTAGAAAATGTATGTTTGTGACAAAACAAATCCACGTTTACTTCAGTGCCCCACTTAGGCATAGTTAGAATTACAGAAACTTAAAGCTGGGAGGGATTTCAGAAAGACTGTTGGCATTATCACTGGACAGATGGGGAGACTGAGACACAGGAGAGCAATTTCCTTATTAACCTTCATTCTTAATTGATGTGGAGTCCTTCCAGATGCTGAGTTCTACTCATACGATAATTTTGAAATGGTAGATATGCTGTGCAAGGGCGAGGTACATTTTGTGCCCCTGGGCGCCAGGCTCCAGACTCTCATGGGGCAGAGGAAAGCTGTAAGGGATGAGCCTTTCAAAGGGAGGCTGAACAAAAGCCTGGCCTCCAGGGTGCTAACCCAGTCGCGAGTCTATAATTATCCCAGGATAGAGCTCTATTAGGAATACTGTACTTAGCATCAGCACTCTCATAGCCTGAGCCTCTGGCTTTGACCATGATCACTCAAGAATTATGGCCAAATGGGTCAGCAACGTCTCTACTGCCAGCATCTCAGGATAGGGCTGGAGTCTCAATATAACATCATGGCTTGCTTTGGTAGCCTAACATGACTCCTGTATTTGTGATTTCATCTAAGGCTTTAGGGAATTTTTAAATTATTATTTTTAGGAGTTTTTTTTTAAATGTCTACTGAATGTTATATGGAGAACAGATATTCTTTAGATGGATTGATAATGATATGTTTTTAAGTCATACATAGACCTTGGACCACTAAATTTAATTTTTTGCTTTAAGAATGTGAGTAATTGCCATTAAAAAATACAGAAATTAGGGACTTTAGGGGAAATCGCTTCCTCATCTGTGTTTTGAAACTGTGAAGTATATTTTTGAAGAAGACTTCTGTGCCCTTTGCATTTAGGAGAGGCCAGAAGATCCGCTTAGAAGTAAGTAAGTGGACAGTCTCAGAGAACCTTAGCATCCTCTGGCTCTACACGATGTCCAGTGACTCTGGTAGTCATCTATCACGTAGTTAGAGTCGACTTCACCCCTCTGAGAGGAGTCAGCATCATCTACTAATCACACAGCTAACATTTCAGCAGACCCTCCCACGGATAGGCCTTCCCTTCCACCCTCAAAGGAAAGCACAGACGAACAGAATTTGGCTAGCGCCTTCATGAACGTGAGAATGTTTACCCGGGTCAGGATAGCTTAAACTGTAGAAAGATAGATGTAAAGATGTGATAAGACAATTACATGGGTATGTGTATCTTCCTCATTTAGTCAGGGTATTCTGGAGAAGGAAAGCTGAGGAAGCCATTTACCTGACGGGAGAGCAGATGCTGCCATGCTGTGGTGCTATTTTAGATCCTGTGGTGTTGTCACAGGGTTGATCATGTTGTCAATGCGATAGATGTAGAAACAGATCAAGAGCAGGGCTGGAACCTTGGTACGTGCCAGGAGATGTCAGATCAGAGGGAAAGGAGAGATTGTTCAACAAACAGAATGAAAACAGAGGTTACTCTCTCAGAGGAAGGATAGAATTGGATCCGTCTAACTTACACAGAAAACCACATCTGTGTGATCCAGAAACGAGTTGCACAATCACTGGAAACACTTGAGTGGAAAATAGATCTTTCAGACATTGGGTGAGAGAAATACTCAATAAGATACACAAATATAGATTGCAAAAGATTGTTATAGTTAACTACACTGAAATTATGAACATTTAAAAACACTCTGAAGTAAGTTTATATGTCAAGTTGCAGCTTTGTCAGCCTTCACAATTTATACTCTGAAAGGTTGAAAGAGCTATGTTGAGGTTGGAGGCATCAGCAAATAAGCAAAAATATTAATTACCGAGTTTGAGTTCTGGTCTTGGACCAAAAAGAAAAACAAACAAAAAACAACAGAGAGAGAGAGAGAGAAAGAGAGAGAGGGGGAGGGAGGTTAAGTATATTTAAAATAAGGTTGAAGCAATTCAAGGAACAATTAAGGTAAGAGAGGTAAAAAAAAAATTGTAGAAAATAAATATACAAAGCAGAGATAAGTAAGAGATATCCACATCATTGATGTGTAAGGAAAACACAAATGAAGGGCATGGAGAAAATACTATCTACGTTTTCCTTATATTTAATTAAAGAAGCACATTTAAGTCCCTGTCAATATCAGTGGTTGAAGGGTTGTAGAGGACCTATGTCAAGGGATTCTTTTTGAATGCTAACAAGAGTGAAAGAGGAAAGGAAAGTGTGGCATTACTTTACAGCTGGGAAGTTTTACATGTCCCACTGTCTCAGCATTCTCCTCCTTTCTATTGCACCCAAGAGAAGCTGTGCTTGCAAAAAAAGGTGAGAAGAATGAGAATTATCTACCACCAAGGAGCATAACCTCATGTCCTGGAAATAATTCAGGTTCACAAGAGAAAGAGAGCATATGAGTGGCACATTTCGTAGCTGTCAAAAAGAATGGAATCTAGCCAGGCACTGGTGGCTCACACCTGTAATCCTAGCTACTCAGGAGGCTGAGATCTGAGGATCGAGGTTCAAAGCCAGCCCTGGCAGGCACGTCTGAGAAACTCTTAGCTCCAGTAAACCACTCAGAAAACCAGAAGTGACACTCTGGCTCAAGTGGTAGAGCACTAGCCTTGAGCTGAAGAGCTCAGGGACAGCGCCCAGGCCCAGAGTTCAAGACCCAGGACTGACATAAAAAAAAAAAAAGAAGAAGAATGGAATCTGGTGAAAGGCAATGATATAGATGAAACTCAGGGATACAATATTTGGTGAAAAAAGACATTTCCAAAGATTCATACTTACAAGGTAAAGGCCCAAACAACTGTTTGTCGCATGCACAGGAGTGAAATGAACCTATGTACATTCCTATTTCTTCCTGCTTCTATTTCCCCAGCCTTGTGAACAGGGCCGTGGTGGGAAACGCATCCGAGCTATGGCAAACATCGGCACTGCCCTCAAGTTCCTGGAAGGAAGAAAGGTAAGAAGGCCTGGGCTTCCTGACATTGCCACCACCGGCTGTGGGATACAAACACAGTGCATCAGTGGAACTGCACAGACAGACAATGTCATTGTGAAATAATTTTAGATTTACGAAGGAATTGCCAAAGAGAAATTTTACATCGCTCTGTTCCCCTTCCTCTAATCTTAAGCACTTCCATGAACATGGTACTGTTACTAAAATAGGAAATTTACAGTTGAAACTACTAACTAGAGCACAAACCTTTACCATCTTTGGCCCAGGACTCAATCCAACCTCATGGTATGCATTTACTTGTGTCTGTCTTCTAAGGCAAGTCTTCATTGTTGTCTTCTACAACCTTTGGTGCTTTGGGCAGATGGACTCTGGACATGGGTTTGCATGATGCTCTCTCATAGTCAGACTGAGGCTATATATACATTGCCTGTAAGAACTCCAAGGAAGGCCTGCGGCGTTCTTCCCTGTGTGGCATTTTAGTGGGCAGAGAGGTCTGTTATATTCTCTTGCTGATGATGTTAACAGTGATCATATGGTAAAGTGATGGGGGTCATAGTTTTCTGTGGCTATAGCCAACACTTGGGGCTGGATAATTCATAATGAAGGAAGTGTACTTGGCTCACAGTTCTGGAGGCCAGCAAGTCCACAGCATGACACGTGCACTTCGCTACCTCATACCATAATGGAAGGTGTCACACACGGGGGAGGTAGAGAAGCTCACGTCAGCTTCTGACAAAGCCACAAGTCCCATTGATTGTGGCCCCACCCCAGTGACCCTATCTTGACCTCAGTGCCCCTTTTTAAAAACAATCTTTAAGTAATTATATGAAGGGGTTTCGATTCATGTCAGTTGATAAACACAAGGCATCTTGATCAGTGTTATCCCTTCCATCATTCTGTGCATCTGTCCCAACCCCACCTCCCCAGTCACCAGGGACAATATTCCACCCGAGTACCTTGAATATCAAGACTGAATTCTTACCTCGGTTCATCTTCCACCCTCCCCTTAAGTCCAACCTCCCCTCAGGCAAAACGTGTTTCAGCTCTCTGAAGTTGCTCATTTTGTTCAACTTTAATTGTTGGGAGGAGTTTCCCCGTGGGAATCCTCCCGCCCCCTCCCTCGCATCCCCTGTCTTAGTCAGGTTGCTTGTGTGTCTGGGCATCTGGCCCATGCATGTTTTCATAGATGTTGCTATTGTGTACTGAATTTCCACAGAGGAGAGAAAACACGTGCCTTTTGCCTCTCTGCAACTGACTCACTTCACTTTCGCATAATTTCCCCAGGTCCATCCATTTCCCTGCAAATGACATAATATTACCTTGACCTTGTCTTGATCTGCCCAGAGGCTTCATTTCCAATTCTATTAAGATGAATTTAAAGACTGAGCTTCTAATACCTGTTGGGGTCACAGCAATTGATGTCTGCCATCCTTTTCTATTGCTGCTTTCTCTCTCGTGGTTGAGAAATGACTTGCACCCCCGATGGGTCCTGTCTGATTTCTCTGCTCTTCTTTAGACTTTCACATCTTGCTTCCAACAGATACTTGTTCCTCTCATTCCATCTGCATTTACTATTAAAAGCATCCTATATGAAAAAGATGTCATTTGCCCCATATGTGTCTGTTTATTTGTGCAACTGGTTATTTCCTTCCATTTAAACTCATTTGTACTGGTCTTATCCTACAGATGCAATCAGTGATTAATTATTGCTCATATTGCATAGTGACCAGTCCCAGAATCAGTCAGTTCTCAAAGGAAGCTTTGCTCTTCTTGTTGGTGATGGTAATTAGAGCCTGTGTCTGGCTCCTAGGTGTGTTGTGGCTACTAGAAAGTCATGGCTCCTGGGTTCTTGCTACTGTCACTGCTAAGAAATATTAGGTTTGCCAACAAATGTAGACACATGTATGTGTCCTCTCTCTCCAGTCTCCTCCCCTGTACACACCTGCACACAAACCTTCCTCCCTGCTGGGTCTGTTTGTATGTGTATGTTTAAACCATTAGGTTGCAGTGATAACTTTGGTTCCAGAACACACTGTGAGACTTATTCTCTCCTTACACAATGTTTTTTGCCCCTGTTCTCATGTTAATGCATTTATGTATTTGTGAAGAATGAATCTCATATGAAATAGTTCAAGAATTACCAGTCCATACACCCATGCAAACCATCACTAACCGGGGAACACTATCCATGTACTTCTGTCTGTATTTAGCACTGTAGTGTCGAGTCATAAAGCTATTTTCTAAAGGTCCTGATGTTACTTCCTAGTTCTTCTTCAGTGTGTTTATAGTATTCATTCACAACAGAGGTAACTTGCAATTGTATTCTATGTAGTGTTGTGCTACATTCACATGCACACACCACACATCAAACACACACATCCCAGGTGACTTTAATTCTTTCAGTTTATTTTAGGGCGAGGGATACTACCATGGCTCACCAACACTTCCACATTGCTGGAGGAGTATTTTCTTCATTACTTCCTAGAAACATGATTGCTAAGTCAAAATGCAACGCGTGCATGTAATATTGTTAGATAATGTAATATTTCCCAAAAGGCATGTCTCTTAAATTTAACTATTTCTACTTTGTGAAAACTTAGAATATCTGTACTTGGCATTTGCAACTAAGTTTATAAATGGATACCCACATAATTCTGAAAAAGAGAATGTCTTGATTATTTTCTTCTCGATCTGTATGTTGTGAATTAATTCATATGCTTTACAAATTTATAATCAACTACTTAATATCAACAGGATACTTTAAAAAAGGCTAGATTGCTGGATGCTGGTGGTTCATGCCTATAATCCTAGCTACCCAGGAGGCTGATATCTGAGGATCATGGCTCGAAGCCAGCCCTGGCAGGAAAGTTTGTGAAACTTATCTCTACTTAACCACCAGAAAACTCAAAGTGGTGCTGTGGCTCCAGTGGTAGAGCACTTGCCTTGAGCTGAAGATCTGAGGGATAGTGTCTAAGTCTCATGACTTAGCAAAAAAAATAAAAAGCTTAGATTGTTGACCATATAAAGTACTTTTTTTTTGGTGTGGGGTTTGAACTCAGGGTCTTGGTCCTCACCCTTGCTAGGCAGGTACACACCTAGATCATACCCCTATTCCATTGTGTTATTAGATATATTTCCTCCTACTTTCTCCCACATGTCTGGAATTACAGACAGCACCACACTTTGCCCACTATTTATGTTTTAATAAGTTGATGGTTTAATGGGTCAGTATAAATTTTGATGAATTCTGCAAATTTCATGCTTCATACTTCTGAACATTATTATTATTATTATTAACACATGTCATGAAATCTTGGTGACAATTATTAACTAGGAGTATATGTTGTTTTTCATCTGTTTTCTGACTTCTATAGGAATTGTGGTGAGGATGATGGGCAGTGGTTGATTTCATACTTAGAGGTTGACAGACTTACCATATAAGTCCATTTTGCTTATTATTTTAAAAATAACATCTTTAATAGTTGGAAAAAATTGGAATTTATCTATAGACAGAGAAATATGTATCTTCAATTCTTAACGGTTATTATTGTCCCTAAATAGAGAACTTAATGGTAACAATCTCTTTTGTGCCAATTCTCAACTTTCCTTTGTTTGTCTTTAAAAAGCCATGCTCTAAATGTAATACGTTTGTTTCCCTTTGAGCAAATCATACTGATTTTAAAGGATCATTTGCATCTGTATGTCATCTTCTCCCTTTGTTTTTCATGGCAGTCCATGTACCGAGGATCACCGGTTAGTATAAACTTTAGAGTTTTTAACTCCTGCTTTCTATGTATAAACTTTAGAGTTTTTAACTCCTGCTTTCTATGGGTAAAAGACAACCTAAGTTTCAGGCTCTTTGGTAGCACCCTGCAATGTAAGTGCTTCTTCCTCAGCTACTTACCATGGTTTCTTGTAAACGTGCACAACTCCTCAATGTAAAGAAAACCACATTTTGTTTGATGTTTTTATCAGTTAATCCCTGCATGGTTATGCACATGTATTTATATATTATATATTTATTTACATAAATATATAAATATTTGTTTTGTTTTTCAACTTTAAGCAAAAGAAGTTTGTGAAATCTGTTTTGTAGCTGTTTTCATTTTGCCCAAATGTCCACCAAAACCACGTGCTTGCTGTTTTGTGGTCCATCTGCTCTTGTCATATACCATGACACAGGATAACCAAACCGTCTTGATAGCTAAGACCTAATTATTGCATGATTAAGTGGGTTGTTACATTGTAGCTTATTACTAGTAGAATGTTTCTTTTTAAACAGATTAAATTAGTGAACATCAACTGCACTGACATAGCTGATGGCCGTCCATCCATCGTTCTTGGACTGGTGTGGACCATTATTCTGTATTTCCAGGTATGGTCCTACATGTCTGTTTTATAACCTGTTGTAAAATCATGGGTGGGGAGAGAATGGTCTGCCATTCCTTTGGGTGGCCTTCAACTGTATACACAGTCTTTTGGTAGCAGAATTTCATCATCTCCCCTGCAAAGGTGTTTTACCTGAACCTGTATCTCAGAGAACTTCAGCTAAGGAATCTCATTATGGAGATAGACTGCATAACTGTATATCTGTGTACTGTATACTATGTAACTGTAGTAGAAGCTCAGGAAATGTTGTTTTATTTCCTGTCATGGAGAAGTTCCAGAATCCTATCAGACATGATTTCTCATCATTAACTTGGCATTTCTTGTAGAATAATTGTTCTACTCAAGTGTTAGTCTGTTTTCCATTGTGAACACAAAATACCCGAGGCGCTTTAACTTATAAAGAAGCTGATTAGCTCACAGTTGTGAGATTGAAAATGTAAGCGGCTCTGATAAGGGAGCCCTGGCCACATCCCGTCATGGTCTGGTCTATCACACGGGGTGTTTGCTGGTCAGAAAGATCATGTGGTGTGGCAGGAAGGCAGACAGCAGAGAATTACAAGCTGATTTGTATAGCAGTCCTCTCATGAGAACTAACCAGGATCCCATAAGAAACCAATGAGTTTGTTCCCAATGCATCTCCCCCAAGGATCTTCGGTTAGGTTTTACTTTGCAGTATTTCCCAGTCTCATCACATCGAGGATAAGTTTCAAACATCTGAAATTGTGAGAAACAAACACGACCCATTCATCTCACCCAGGCAGCACACACCCATGTACTGCCGTGTGGCTGCAGATCTAGTGATGGCCATGGGAAGTGCAGAAAGGAGGAGGAAGACACCTACTCTGCCTGGAAAGTCCTTGTACTTCTCAAGGGATGTTAAGATCAATCACTTTGAGTTGGTGGGAGGGGGAGAAGCAAATCTCTCTGGGAGCAGAGGAACAATGATGAATCTCATGCACAGATTGAAGAGCTGACCAGCAACCTGCCCCAGCTGCAGTCACTGTCCAGCAGTGCCTCCTCTGTGGACAGCCTGCTCAGCACGGAGACCGCCAGCCCCCCAAGCAAACGCAAGGTGCCCACCAGGATCCAAGGAAATGCCAAGAAGGCTCTGTTGAAGTGGGTGCAGTACACAGCAGGAAAGTAAGTATCCAGAGCTGAAAGTCTGTGTTGACTGATCAATTTATTACTTACGTTCCTTCTGCTTGCAAGAGTTGAAGAGACAGTCAAAGAGACAGTCTCCTTGATTGAAAATATAAACAGGAAATTGCCACTAGGGCGCTAGGAAAAGGCTGTGACAAAAATGAATTCAATTTTCATTGCTGTGACTAGGCCTGATGAGTAAAATTGATCAATCAGTACTTTTGATTATTAGCAGGAAGGCTTATGTTATCAAGTCATTGTTTAGAGTTTCTGTGCTTGAAAATAATCTTTGCCCAGACGAATAATCAGATATTTTTACTAGCTTACCTCTTGGTAAGACTATTAAATAAGGTGTCATAATCATACAAATTAAGACCCACATTCCACCTGGATCCCTATTTAAACAATTTGTTTTTCCTCTTCCCCTCCACAAATTATACCAACATCAAATATAGTGAAAGCGGGTTATACTGTGGGGGAGGGACATACAAAGCAACAAAGAAATCATTTTCACAATTAAAAAAAAGACCCACATTCCAAATCTAATTTTATTTCCTTAAACTTTTATTTCCTGAAACTTTCTTGCCATTTAATCCCTCCCCCCACCTCTGGTCTTATCTTTTATCTGGAATAGAGTTTCCTCTGTCAACTTTAGCTTTTTGGATTGAAATCTAAATTTACCTATGTATATACTTCTGTTATAGTGATGGGTAGAAAATTAGCATTCTCGAGAAATCTCCTAGCAATTTTAGTGGTGTTCAGTTGAGCATGACAATGTTTTGTAGTCTGATGGGATCAGAGGCAATTTTCCTCACACAGAAGTTGTGCTTTTGTTTGATCTTCCTAGATGACATGTAAAAATCAACTCGCTTGCTCTCTCATTTCATCTAACACTAATCTGAATTTGATTAACTCCTGCTGGAGAAAAAGTTGTAAACAAGTACTTATTATGCAACATTGAAATGCTGAATGTAGGGAGTTCTATTTTCAAAAATGTTGAAGGAGCAGGAAATAAGGAAGGAAAAGTTAAACGTAGAGAAGACACAGTCAGTGCTGCTAATATCTGCAATTTTGCTTCGCTTTGAAAGTGTGTGAGTGGTTGGTTTTCTAATTCCAGACAGAGTCAGAAGTATTTCTGAAGAGCAAAGCTTGTGGCTCCTTGAGTGTGTAGTAGAAATTAAAAGGTCAAAAGCCTGCACGTGGTTGGAGCATGTTTTCAAGCAGCACACTGGGCATTAGAGCTCTTGATCACAACTTGATGGGCCAAGAAGGGAAGCAGCAGTCCAGGGAGAAGACAGGTGACACTTGCAGCCCTTGGTCATGACGCCATTGCAGTATTGTCTGTGTGACATTGAGTTTTCCATTGCTCTACACTCAATTACAATTAACCAAAGCTACATTGAAGGTTATTTCATAGTACAGTAGCTCAGGTGAACTCAAATCCAAGGAGGGGTCAGCTTCCTCCATTTTGCCTAGCTCCATGTGGACGGAGTTGGGTTTCCAAGATGTGCCGGGATTGGGAGATGGTCCAAAGTCATTTTTGCAGCTTGTGTATATGAAACAGATATGGAAGTTATATTTTCATTGTCTGTGAAGCTATCCAGAACTTTAGATCTGCTGGGTGTTTAGCCATCAGTACTCAAACGCGCTCACTCCCCTGGGTGTTGCTTTGTATGCATTGGAGGTCTTTGTACAATCTGCTTTGATTCCATCCCAGTGTGTGCTTTCCAAACAATGACTTATCTGACATGGAAAAAAGACTCAGATTCCTTAGACTCTTTAAGCCAAGTTCATTATATGTATACAATTAAAAGTAAATGTGCAATACAAGTCCGAAACACCTATATACTGGATATTTTATATATATATATATATGAGCACTTGCCAGTTTCTGTTAATGAGGATTTCAGTTAATACTTTTCACAGAATAAGTATTTTTCATAGAAAGTTTGAGAATGTGGTAAAACTAATTAAGCAATGTTTCTCCTTTCATGAGAAATAACTATAAAGTTAAATGAGAACAACTTTGAAAAAATTACCAGAATCCTGTATCCATGCTCACTACATAGTCACATTTATAGGTTTAGCACTTAGTTGTGGGTTCTTGCTCTTGTTAAAATCATTCTTGTAACATGCCTTGGACACTTTAATGCATTTGGTATGACATTCTCATGTTTTTATTCTCCTGTGAAGTCAGTCTGTCTCACACAGTGTTGCTTAGAAATGTGGAAGAAATTTCTTCAAAAATTTTCTCATGGTTAGTTATGATCACCTTTGGTATTCTCACCATTTTTCTTTTAAACATTTTGTTACATCTTTTGCCTTAAATTAGTTTTCTTTTTATAAGTGTCCACATTTGCTTTATAATGACCCATCTTCATTACTAAAAACAAAACAAAACAAAAAACCTCTCATCTAGAAAATTCTAAGTATCGTTAACTTGAATTTTGACCTGTTATGTCCTCTAGGAAATGGTTTTGCTTGATTGTATTCAGTAACAATTAACTGACGTGCACCTCATTAATGAAAAATACTAGGGCTTGGTTGGTTGGGTCCTTATAGACCAAGCGCGTGCTTTTGTTTCCTGGTAGTTTGACATTGTTTTTGTTTGTTACCTTAAGGCAGATGGGAATAGAACTGAAAGACTTCGGGCGGAGCTGGAGAAGCGGACTTGCCTTTCATTCTGTCATCCATGCCATCCGGCCGGAGCTGGTAGACTTGGAGAAGGTGAAAAGCAGATCGAACCGAGAAAATCTGGAGGACGCTTTCAGTATTGCTGAAACACAACTGGGCATCCCGCGGCTGCTGGATCCTGAAGGTACGCCCGGTGATACAACGTGTGCTTCTGGCTGTACTGGCTTGTGTGTGTACCAAATCCACACGTGGCGTGACTCATAACCCTCCGTTAAGAGCCAGAAAGCTGGAGGAAAGCAGGAAGACATAATACCCTCCCGTACCAACTTTCTTCTGGATAGATAGTATGTGTCATCATGTTTAGGAACCAAATATGACAGCATTGCTCCACGTGGCTTTTTGGCTTTGACATATGGCCAGCCACTAACAGATTGTAGTTCAAAGCCATGGGAACCGGACTGTGGGTGGAATGAAGGTTTTGGACGTGTGTTGGAAGAACAGGGATTGTGATGTGATAAAATAATCACATTATATAATGCAAAGAGTAAAGTAAATAGAGGAAATTAGTAGCAATTTAAGATTCTGCCTTTAAAGGGGCTGTCATTAGATACAGAAATATTAATAACCATTTATTCAGTGCTTTGGCGCCAGTGAACTATTCAGCCCCAATGGTGCAGGTGCATATATTTATGCTTGTTACATCATTGAAGTAAATCCTATTTATTAATATGAAGTGACTTTCTTTGTTTCTTTTGAGTCATGTTTGTTTGAAGTCTGCTGTGTCGGATGAGTATACCTGCTCCTGTCTACTTTCAGTAGCTCCACATGTTAGGGAAATCTTTAAGCTTTGTTTGTGTTAGGCAGTGAGGTAAGTGAAGGTAGCATAGGAGGTATGTAAACTTTTTTTTGGGGGGGTAGTGGTGGTCCTGGGGCTCGTGCTGTCTCAGAGATGTTTTTACTCATGGCCAACACTATACTACATGAGTCATAGTTCCATTGCTGGCAGGTTTTTTATTTTCTTAGTAATTAAGTGAAAATAAGGGTCTCAGGAACTTCCATGCCTGGGCTGGCTTTGAACCATGATCCTTAGATCTCAGCTTCCTGAGTAGCCAGGATGACAGGTGTAAGCCACTGGCACCTGGTTTTCTGCCTGTCATTTGGATGGTGGTTTTCGGTAAATTGCTAGAGTTCAAAACTTGTGTTATGAAAACCCAGTGACTGTGAGTTAATTTGTTCACATGTGCTTTGGCTTTGCAGATGTGGATGTGGATAAGCCAGATGAGAAGTCCATCATGACCTATGTAGCCCAGTTCCTGACACATTATCCTGACGTCCACAATGCCGGTGCCGACGGGCGAGAGGATGAGGTAGCTCTGTTTCCTTTACGTATGGGTGGGGTGCTCAACTCGGATGGTGATGAGGATGTTTTCAAAAATATCAAATTCGATTTTATTTAATACAAGAGAAACTGAGCAAGGAACAGAGATCATCCAATGGAGAAGCGAATAGTGGAAGTATTTCTCTGGTTTATATGTTGGATATGTCAGAGAGAGCTTTGCTAATGATGAATGTTCACTGTTCAGTGGCGATGCATTACAGGTGAGGAAAGATGGTGCTGGCAACTCCATTTTAGTTCCTTCTTTTAATGTGAGGATTGCAATAATTTTATATGCATCATATTATTTGCACCTACAGTTTGTGAGGCTCCTTACTCTACTAGATCTTAGGAAATCTTATTTCAATTCTAGATTGTGTGACATCCATTGACAGCAAACATGGTAGCAGAAAGTCTTAATTATTCACCATGGTTAGATTTTTATCTTTTCAGTGATTTAACACTTTTTTATAATGCTTAATTGACAGGTTTATTGTCACTAATATCTCTTAAAAATTGGACATGAAAAAAGGAAATTTATCTGTACCTCATCTTCTAGACCAAAACTACCCTAGGGGAAAATGTGAACATATTTGTTCCCAATATTTAAAAAATACATTAAAAATACATTTTTAAACAAAATAGATCACAGTATCCATAAAGTTTTATGCTACTTTTAAGCTGGATACATTGGTTCAAGTCTGTAATCCTTGAAGTTTCAGAGTCTGATATTGTGAGGATCATAATTTGAGGCTGGCCTGGGCATAACATATGCAAGACCTCATCTCAGTAGAATAAAGACGGATGGGGTGGCAAAACCCTGTAATCCCAGCTACAGAAGGAAGCATAGATGCATAGGAGGATCGCAGTCTAGGTCAGCCTTGGCATAAAATAACCAAAGCCAAAAAGGCCTGGGGCTGTGGGCCAAGTCAGAGAGCATGTATCTAGCAAGTATAAAGTCTTGACTTGAAAACGCTAATCCTGCCATAAGTATTAAAAATTTAAAGAAATGAGTAAAGAACGCAGCCCATACACATACACTAATTTATCCAGACCTAACTGCTGTGAATTTCTAATTTTTCAAATGGCAAATAATATTAGATGAGCAGTATTGTAAAAAAACTTTGCTGTAAGAAAAGTCTTGGAAGTGGAATTCCTAGTCAAAAGGGCATATGAAATATTATTGCTTTTGACATGTTTTAAAAGTATCAGTTTAGGCTGGGCGCCGGTGGCTCACGCCTGTAATCCTAGCTACTCAGGAGGCTGAGATCTGAGGATTGCGGTTCGAAGCCAGCCCCGGCAGGAAAGTCTGAGAGACTCTTATCTCCAATAAATCACTAGAAAACCGGAAGTGGCGCTGTAGCTCAAGTGGTAGAGCGCTTGCCTTGAGCTGAAGAGCGCAGGGACAGCACCCAGGCCCAGAGTTCAAGCCCCATGACTGACCAAAAAAAAAAAAAAAGTATCAGTTTATTTATCAAGTTTGCCTCATTTTATGCTCCAGGCAGAATACTGAAGGGCCAGATTTCCAGTGAGAATGGATATTCCATTCTCTTCCTACCTTGTAAATTGTGATTATTTTTAATTACCGGAGGGTGATTCACTGCTGAATTTCAGCTTAATTATAAGGGAAAATGGACCCAGGAAAATTAGGAGCTATGCTTCTGTCTCTGTGGTTGCTATCAGAATTTTGGAGTACTTTGCCATTACCAAGAAAATCATTTAGAAAAACAAAAGTCATTAAGGTGTGTTTTTTTGTTTTTTTTTTTTTTTTGAACACTAGAAGCAGGTCTAAGGAAGGAAAAGGTCAGGGATTCTATTCTATTGTATTGTTTATTTGTAGAAACAGATTTGCTATTAATAGTGACTTGTCCCTGACTTCAGGAAGTAATTAACACAGGGCACCAGTTGTCTTGAGTTGGGGGATTGTATTAACATGACATTCCACTGAAAGTCTCTAGTTTTGTAAAAAGGAAACTTCCCTTGCTACTTTCCAAAATTCAAGCTCAAACCTGTATCTCTAGGCTCATTTGTCAATGGTATGTAAAGAAGTATCGAGAAATGAAAGAAGTTTCTAGAAGCTGCTTCCATTAAGACTCAGGAGCAGGAAGTTAACCCAGGGAGCCTCCCTGACAAGCTTCTCAGCACTGCAGTGCAGCGTTTTTATTACCAAGGATTAACTTAACTCTGTAGATAATAAACCTCGGTCATGTAAGACAGTTCCCTCCATTTCTTTCCTAAAAGAGGAAGCATCTGACTTCTTCAGGGCTTCCCAAATTTAATTTTGATGAAAATATGTTTTACTGTTTGCTGTGAACATGTGATAAGCATCAAAATTTGAATATTTTCAATAATCAAAAATAATTTTTATGATGTAAGGCTTGTATTTGTTACTGTGGTAATGGTCCTAAACTTGATGAATTTTCAAGAATTTGTAAGCTATATGTATCTATATATTATATACCATCTTCTCAAAACATGCAATACTCAAGTATTAGCAATTTCTTCATTTTTAAACATCTGTGAATTAACCTATCTACTAAGTATCCATTTTTCCATGTGATTTTGATGTCTATAGCTTTGTTGAGTCTATTTCAATTGAAAATAGTATGGGCTTCATTTGGAATATAATCTTCTTACTGGTAATAGATAATAATAAATAAATTTTCTCTCTCAAGATATTCCTTAGGTATAAGCTGGTAGTGTATTTAATAGGGGGAAGATAAAAGTTTGCCTATTTCTGTTAACATAGTTTTTCTATTAAAATGTTTAATTTTATTTCAAAACACATCTACAAACTATGTTTTCCCACATGACCATTTGAACTTAAAATAAAATATGTTGATATATTGAATGTTTTAAAAACCATTTGGGTGCTGTTGGTCTGCACCTGTAATCCTAGCTATTCAGGAGACTGAGATCTGAAGATGGAGGTTCAAATTCAGCACTGGCAAAAAAAAATGCATGAGACTTTTATTTTCAATTAACCAGAAAAAAAACCCTGAAGGTAGAAATGTGGCTCAAGTGGTAGAGCCCCAGACTTGAGCAAAAAAGCCAAGGGGGAGTGGGTAGGCCTTGAATTCGAGCTCCTAGTGGAACAACAACAAAAAAGGAAGCTATTGAAACCTCTTAAAGTAATTACACCTTTAAAATACTTGCTTATCTGTCTATAAAAAAGATGCCTGCCAGCTGAGTTCCTTCTTATTCCCTGTATACTTTTTTGTCCCTGATTTTATATTGTGTTTCTATATATTATCTTTTTATGTTAGGAAATACTTCCAGTTCTCTCATCCTTTGCATATTGTATCCAAAGTTTTCAGGTAAGATTCAAACAATCTGGAATGAGTGAACTGTTTCAAGTATCTTACATTCTGTAGCTTATGAGCTATTCCTCTGCATGTATGCACCCTATGTCCATATTCCTTATAATACCTTAACAGTGTTAGTTCCTTTATGTCTAACAGAAAAAAACCCACGCATGTGTGTTATTAAATGTCAGCAGCAGTTGAAGCCACTCCCGTGGATTTAATCTTTAATCACATGAGGATTTTTCATTTCCTTTTAACATGTAACTACGCTAATAAAAGAAAAACTTCTGGTAACTAACTTTGGTTTCTTAAAATGTAACAAGAAAAATTAACAAAAAAACAGTTAGATTATTTTTGTATCTTAAAATATCCAGCAGAAATTCTTTTGAAAAGGTTATTTTTGTCAAATGGAATTTCCACGCATCTCTTTTGTTCTATATTAAGCCACAGGGTTTAATCAAATTCATGATGTATAGTATATCTACAAAATGTTTGTAGGATGAATGATTTTTGAATCCTTGCTCATGTTCAAGCTTTGACTGCTTCTTCTAAATTTTAGCTTTTCCATCTTTCTGTGACAGCTGGGCCTGTGATTAAATACCCATCCACACAATAGATTTCATGTCAACCTTGAGAAGGGAAAATCAGAATGAACTAATAGCATGTCAAATATTAAATTAGTTTATTCCATGTTTCATGAAGCAACAGTTTACATATAAACAGGGCAAGAAATATAAACATGGCTTTGTGTTTGTGAGAAAGAGGGAAGAAGGAAGGGAGAGAGAGAAAAGGAAAGAAAGTAAGTTGATGGTGTAGCTGCTTGGAGTTTATATGGTCGTTTTGCAAATTGTCCCAGTGTCTTTTTTTTTTTTTTTTGAATGCATGTGAAGTTTCCAGAAAAGCCACCAGTTGGGTTCTGGAATTTGACTGTTTGAAACTTCATTCCCCTCTTAGAAATGGGTATATAATTAGCTACCGCTCTCTTTCCTTCTAATACTCTCCCAGCCAACACACACAAAAAAGCACGTGCTGAATGGATTCTAAAAAGCTTATTTTAAGTGCACAATCCTCAGGTGATTTGTGAAATAATGTGTTAGTAACAGCAGCTGCTCTTAGGGACAGCGCGGGGTTCCTCTCGGAGGTAGCAGTTCCTGCTAAGCCTGTCCTTGAAGACTGTCAGTGCAGATCCATGCTCCCCGCAGACCTCCGGTACGCTGCTGGTGAATCCGGAGCATTTTCCCCTGGCCTCTTAAGAATGCATTGCTAGCAATTTACCAGTGTCTCATGCCCGTGCTCTTCATTACTCAGGAAGCTGAGGGTTGTGGTCCTAAGCCAGCCTGGGCAGGAAAGTCCATGGGACTCTTACCTCTAATGAACTACTGAAGAGTCAGAAGTGGAGCTGTGGCTTAAGTGATAGAGTACTAGCCTTGAGGGGAAAAATGCTCAAGAACAGCGCCCAGGCCCTGAGTGGAAGTGCTGTCACCAGCACGACAGAAAACACAAAAAACCCAATCAGTCAAAAAGAATGCATTACCAGTGTTTTCCTGGGCATGATAATCGACCAATAATAACAGGATAATGTGGGCCTTGATGATGTTCACGTGATCAGTGAGGCCAGGCATTGTGGGAGGGGCTGAAGCTTTTCAAATGTCTCCTGTTATACCTCTTCCTCTTAATAGCTATGCTATCAAGTAACAACTGCTTCACAGCCATACATTGGGTGAATACTGAGGGACAGACACTGGGTCAGGCACTGGAGATAACAACACACGTGACAGGTCTGTAATTCAGGGCACAGCATTATGTCTCCCATGGAGTTGACTATGAACCGGGGGTTCTCTGTATGCAGCCTGTACACCAGCTAGCCCAGCTCCTCTGGATGCTTGGTTAGAGTTATAAATTTCTGGGCCTTGCCACAGTTCACTGAATCACAAAGCCCGGTATGTGCCCAGCCATTCGAGTTCTCACAAAACCTCCAAGCAGCTGTGTGCAGAAGGAACTTTTAGAATCCTTAGCACAGAAGAAAAAGACTCTGAGCACAGAGTTCTGGGTCAAAAGAAGTTTCGCAGAGAATGTCCAAGGAGAAAGAGGAAGATTAGTGCTCACATTCAGATGACTATCTGTGAAAACCAAAAAGCAACCAGGTGCTGGTAGCTCACGCCTGTAATCCTAGCTACTCAGGAGGCTGAGATCTGAAGATCACGGTTCAAAGCCAGCCTGGGCAGGAAAAGGCCATGAGACACTTATCTCCAATGAACCACCAGGAAACCAGAAATGGCACTGTGGCTCAAGTGATAGAGCACTTGCCTTGAGCTGAAGAGCTCAGTGACAGCATCCAGGCCCATAGTTCAAGCCCCATGACCGACAAAATAAAACAACCCAAAAAGGAGAAGAAAACATGGATTATCCCAACAATGTGTGCCAGTCCGTCTGGGTTCGGTAACAGAGATGATCCTGAACTGTCACCAAAACCACAGGAAGATACTGTGAAGTGTCAGTGCAGATCCATGCTCCCCGCAGACCTCCGATAACGCTGCAAGTGAATCTGGAGCATTTTCCCCTGGGCTTTTAAGAATGTGTTGCTAGCAACTTACCAGTGACTCATGCTTGCGCTCTTCATTACTCAGGAAGCTAAGGGTTGTGGTTCTAAGCCAGCCTGGGCAGGAAAGTCCATGGGACTCTTATCTCCAATGAACTCAGGTGAGCTGCTGAAGATGGACCAAGGCCACAGAATGGTTGCATAGGCCAGTCAAATTTGAGCTGGTTCTTCCTGCCTATGTGGACCGCACTGTCTATTCTACATTCCTCCTCTCCTTTCACCAGCGTCACCAGACATGTGAGCAAGATGCTACAGGGGAAAGCTACTTACAAGCACCTAATAGTCATGCTAAAAATAATATAGCTCTGATTATTTTGGATTTCTTGCCAAATATGAAATCCTTGTTTTTTTAAAAAAAGAATATGTCTACTGAATTTTTGCCTCCTGTAATTATGTATAGAAAAATACCGATGCATTTGTTCAGTGGGTAGTTTGGTAATCCTCTTGCAGTAACCAGGGTGCAACAACCTAGGAATCTGACATTGAGCAAGATCCTTGTGTTCTCTGTCTCCTCGGAGCTGCTTCTAATATTGAATATCATTTTAAAATCATAATGCGGGCAGTTTTCCAAAATGATTGCAACAGCAACTCCCTGAACTCAATCAATCAAAGTCAATTCCATCTAGAATAGACTCCTGCATTGCCAGTGACCTGGGCCTGAAATGCCACTCACCAACCTGTGTTTCCATCCAGCTCTCCTTCCTTCTGCGTCTTTCTGGCCATGATGTCATCTTCTGTTTTGAACACATTTTCCTTATTAACTTGTTGCTCTAACGTAAGGGAACACTAAGTTCTCTTCATTTTAAGGATGAGCAGGGGGAAGGAGGTAGATAATTTCAGCAATTAATGAGACAATTAAGATCTTTTCTGAGAATTAGTTTGTTCAGTTTCTTACACTCCAAAAAAAAAAAAAAAAACAAAAAACGTGGGACAAGGAGAAAGAAAAATTTTCAGAGACACTTGTGATATGTTACATATTAAATATAACCATCAATTAAATAAATTCATGCTTACTAATAAGGTTGTCATGTTTCATGGTCTCCAGAGAGAAGACAGACTAATTTTGAAGGAAATGAAAGTTTGGATAGAACAATTTGAAAGGGATTTGACAAGAGCACAAATGATAGAATCAAACCCGCAGGAGAAATACCAGGTAATGTGTGGGAAAGAGATGGTGAATGTTTCAAAAGCTTTTCATGAGCGTGCCTTATCTATGTCACTTAATCTATGCTTCCTCTGTTAAATTATACTAAGAAGAAAAACCTGCAGAGAAATAATACGTATTCTCATAAATCTGAACATACTATAATTCTACTAAGCAGAAAGCTTTCAGCTGTATTCTGTCCATACTATACATGGAGCTCTGAGAGGTTGTCACTGGTAGGGAATTGTCTTCTATAGGTGACCCCGGACAAAAACACACAGGCATTATCTCTGCACAGCTCTTTAGTGGTCGTCACCTGATGTTGAAATTCACCAAAGCAAAACAAAACAAGACAAAAACCAAAAGCACTGTCGAGACAAATGAAAATAACCACAAAATAAGTTGAATTTAATAAAGGATTGCAACATGATTGTTTGGAAAGTGGCTCTTAAGAAAACCAGCTTCTCCTGCACCCTATGCCATTCAGAACTGTTGTCCTCAAAAAGAGGTCACTATGATTGTTTTCCTTAGGTTCATTACTCTGTCATTAATTGGTTTTCTGCTTCTAATTTTCACTTGAAGACACAATGTCTTCGAACAGGTTTTTCCCATTAAGAAGCTGTGGTTTATTCTAGGGAGCTTTGTCATGTCTCACCTATTTGAGATGCCCTACCTCGTTTTAGTGACAGAACTGACCACAGTAGAGTCTATATGTTGGTATAGTCTGCATGATACTGTGTTATATTCTTCTCCATGTGCAATTTTAGTTATTTTTAGCTATAAAAGTGAACTTGGTAGAATAAGAGCATACCACAGGGAATAAGTTCAATCATGATTTTTGTGTTTGGCTTTTTAAAAAAGATTTAAAATTGGCATGCATTAGTTTTGTCATCCATCCATTCATCCATCGTCCACCTATCCAACACATACAAATATATACACAGTGTACATTGATTCACTTTACTCCTTGTCACTTTCCTTCATTCCCCTCGTCTTCTTAGAACAACTTCACTAGTTATCATTGCTCTATTTTCGTGCACATAGAGTACTTACACCTTGTTCACACTCATTCCCAACTCTTGCTCTTTCCCATCTCACCGTAGCCTGCTCCCCCACCAAAAGCAGCACCTGTCATTTCTGTCATTCATTCTTTAATGTGTATGTTAATTGTTTAAAGGAATTTTACTGTGGTATTTTCACACATGAATGTATTATACTTCAGATGAAACCTTCTATTGCTTTCTCCTTTCCTTGGGCTTACTATTCTATTATTCCAGTTTTCAGTGAGTTTTATTATGTCATCTTTGTCCATAGAAACAACGTATTCCAATATTATTCACTTGGTGTATGATTTTTTCTAGGTTTGCAAATGTGCCTGACTTTATGCATTTGTGTTTTTGTTGAATTTGACAAAACAATCCATATTTGATTATTTTCCATCTATCCTTTGTCTGAAATTCAATAACCTTTCCCCAACCCCCCTCCCCCAAAAAAGTCTTGGTTAAACTCCATCATAAGATGATTGAGCCAGTAAATTGGAAACAAAAAAAGCTAAGAGCAAAATTTATATGCTTGTTTAACCATTGATGAGTTTTAATTCTAGCACGAATAATCAAAATATAATCTGCAAGTTATAAGCTTGCTGGTGACCCAAATGTTATTTTATTAAAAGGAAATTAGGGATTAAAAAATTAACAGAAACATATCTTTTGAGCCACAAATGTTTATCTGTAGCTTAAAAAAACAGGCTTGGGGACTATCTGAACTCAGTATCTAGGGAAATTTTTCTTTGATAGGTACATTTTGTTATCTTCTAATTTAACTTGCCAATGAACACTGTGTTTTCTAGTTTTCACAAACATAAACTTCTGTGGGAGAGAGTTAAATACTTATTTTCTTTTTCCCTTTCTTTAAATTCCATTAAGTTAGAGAGAATGGAAGAAAAAAAATTCATAGTGAAAGTTTTACTCACCACCTCCCCCCAGTGGCCTTCCCGTGAATCTACATGTTCAAATGTCTCCAGTTCTTGTAGCTCCATTTTCTGCTAGACTTTCGCTTGCATGTTTTGATAATATGATTACACAATTTAATGATATTTTCAATTGATATCTAGACTTGGAATCACACTTTACGATGCACTAATTTAGTGTAACATGTAGAACTTAAAGTACTACTTCTATGTTGGCATCAGGCCGATGGTTTAGTTATTATATGTTTAGTTAAATTCTCTAGGATACATAATATTTTAATGCTAAAGAATTAGAAGGCTTGATATGTATAGGAGGTCCAACAAACTAAACCTCTTAGTATAGGATTACATAAACAAAAATTTAGCTGTCTTTTATTAGCATGATTTTAATGTATGTGGTTTCTTTTGGTAAGTTGTTTATAATTTGAAGTAAAACAACTATCTTCCTACATAGCAGAGATGTCCATTCTAATCACCTCTTGACAAATATCAACTGGTATGTAAACCATGGGTAGAAATGAGCAGCCCTCGGCTTTAGTTATGCCCATGCTATTTGTCTGTGCACTTCTTGTCTCATAGTATTAATTCATGTTTATGTTGCTGGTTATAAGAAATCCAGAGAGGGTAATAAGTAGAAGGCGTTTAGCCCCAGAGCGAGGGTCATGATTCCAGCTTGCTGATTCATAGCTGTCTTTACTATAATAACTGCTATCGATATTACAGCGATCCCTCTCATACTGAGAGAGTTACTTTCCGGAGACGCCCGCGATAGGTGAGAATCTGTGAAGTAGCAGTGTTTTTATATGTATGCGTATTTACACATATACATATTTCAAGGCTTTAGAAACCCTTTCAACTCTCCTATAAACCTTCCCTACTCCCTTAGTATTCTTTCTCATACTCTTATAAACACTTTATATGCTCCACTTAAATACTATATACTGCAAAATTCCACAATAGAGTGAAAATTCTGTGATACAGACTTAGAATTACATTAGAATTAGATTACAGAATTAAAAAATAAAACCCAGGATACAGTGAAGCCACAGTAAGTGAACCGCGCTATGGTGAGGGACAGCTGTGCTATCAACTGTGTGTCCTGAGTGCCGGCCACACGGATTGTTATTTAGGAAGTGTGGTTTCCTTTGCTTTTCCTCTGTGTGACTCATTTGTGGCTTTTCTGTTTTGTTCCTCTCTTAGTCATTTAAGCACTTCAGAGTTCAATATGATATGAAAAGGAAGCAGATCGAACATCTCATCCAACCACAGCAGAAAGATGGGAAATTGTCCCTTGACCAAGCATTGGTGAAACAGTCCTGGGACCGAGTGTCCGCCAGGGTGAGTTCCCCCATGGCTCATTTCCTTGGCTCAAGTCCGGTGGTCAAGACTGTGTCCCCAGCTTTTCCAACAAAGCTTTAGGGAAGAGGTGCCGCTGTGTGTCCTAGGTGGGAAGGGCTTCTCTATGCGGCGCTCTGCCCTCGGAGACACAGGTGAAAAGGCTTGTGTGAATAGCTGTTTGCCAGTCATTGAGGGGATGATGGATTAATTCTTGCCTTACAATACTTACCGATCGGTTGTTTAGAATTGGTAACTCTGGTCTTGTAGAGGAGTCCCAGAAATGGAGAATCAGACGCTTCTTCTTCTTCTTTTTTTTTTTTTTAATCCTGGGGCTTGAACTCAGGGCCTGGGCACTGTCTCTTGCTCATGGCTAGCACTCTATCCACTTGAGCCACAGCACCACTTCTGGCTTTTTCTGTGTGTATGTGGTACTGAGGAATCGAACCCAGGGCTTCATGCATGCTGGACAAGCACTCTACCACTAAGCCACATTCTCAGCCCCACTTTTCAATATGTTTCATCAGCATTAAGAATCTGTTGATAAAGAATTATATGTTCTGTAATTAAAGCTTTCTCATAATCTGATCTTTTGTGAATCTGAAGGAACACTGCCGACTATCATTCCTATTTATGCCTTTTATTAAAACTTGAAAATCAAGATGGCAAGGCCTCAGATCTTTTTATCCCTATTTAGAATATTGGACTCAAGACAACCATGTTACTTATTTTGGTAATTTATTTTTTTCATCAACTCCATCAAAGAATAACCTAATCCCTAAGCACCTTAACTCATCCCAATGGATGCTCCAGGGAACTAGTAGACAGTGTTTGAGAATTGGGTTCTATAGAAGAAATGGAGAATTAGGAAATCTGAGGCCAATTGACTCTTGAAAACTCATCTTTCTCTAGAGCTATGTAGGTAACCGGAACTTCCTACAGATAGTCACATCGAGTGGGCCTCTTCATGGGGCTCTCATTGGACCAAGACGATGTGCTTAGCATGTGGTGTATTAATGACTACCTCTTCATGTCATCAAACCTAGCTTTTCCCTTTTAGCAAAAGCAACCCTGAAAATAAGTGGGTGCTTTATGCTATTACTATGGAAGAAAAGGGCAATTATTTCCTTATAATATCTTTCAATGTCTAACACGTATTTTGTTTGTACACAATTTGCCATAACGCTCATTTTCCCCTTCCTCCTCAAAACTTCAAACTCAGCATCATAGATATTTGCTTATTTTGGCTTTATTACATTCATTTGTACTTATTAGCTTTAAACATCGTATGAACTTTTGAAATCATTTTTAGGGACCAAGCTACTCAGGAGGCTGAGATCTGAGGATCATAGTTTGAAGCCAGCTTGGGCAAGAAAGTCCGCGAGACTCTTTATCTCCAATTAGCTACCCCCAAAAAGCCAAGAAATGGAGCTGTGACTCAAATGGTAGAGTACTAGCCTTGTGAAAAAAAAAAGCTCAGGGACAGTGCCCAGGCCTCGAGTTCAAACCCCGGGAGTAGCACATTAAAAAAAAAGTGTGGGGAGCAATTTTAGGAATTGTCTTCTGTATTACAGATGTTTTGCTGCTTGTTTTCATTTTCAGCTCTTCGACTGGCATATCCAGCTGGATAAATCTCTCCCCGCCCCTCTGGGCACCATAGGGGCCTGGCTGTACAGGGCAGAGGTGGCCCTGAGAGAGGAGATAGCCATCCAGCAGGTCCATGAGGAAACGGCTAACACCATACAACGCAAGCTGGAGCAGCATAAGGTAGGTGTGCTGGTTGGAAAACGCTTCAGCATTGTAGCTAGAGTTCATCGTAGAGCTAGGGTTCACTGACACGGTAGCCTGCTTGGGGTAGGCAGGGCCTCTGATCAGAGACTTCTGTTTCACAAGGTCTCTAGTTTGCATTTTCTGTTCTGAGCGATATTCTAGTAGGTCGACTTCCTGAGATCATTTCTAGTAGGTTGAGCAAAGTTTTTCAGCAGTAACTATCTCTGTTATTTCTGTTACTTTAAGCGATTGTTTTTGTTTTTGTTTTAAAGAAAGGAAAAGCTGGCAGATGACATGGATTTAGATGAGAACTCGGTTGGCCTTGATTCCACAGTTTATTCCTGCCTCTCTTCAGAGGATAGGACTGTGTCTTGGGGCTGTAGGTGAGGTGAGAGGGATGAAAGCCTTAGACGTCCCTGAGCGCTGGTGACTCACTTGTAATATTAGTTATTCCGGAGAGTGGCTTCTGAGGGTTGTGGTTCAAAGCCAGCCCAGAAGGGAAACCCATGAGACTCTTATCTCCAATGAATCACCAGAAAACTGGAAGTGGCACAGTGGCTCTATGTAGTAGAGCACTAGCCTTGAGCAAAAGAATTCAGGGATAGCACCTAGGCCCCGAGTTCAGGCCCATAACCCACCAAAATAATAATAATAATAATAATAATAATAATGTGTCTGTAAGGTCTGCCCATGCCATGCAGGCCCTGTGCAGATACCTCTCCACCTCTTGCCTAAGTTTCTGCCCAGTGTCTGTTACCTAGGTAACTGGCAAACCTAGGGCACCTTTCCCTCCTGCTAGGCTACATTCTCTGGTCACGCCTCCCATCTGACCATAGGAGGATCCCAGGCTCTGAAGTAACCTCCAGATCCAAGGTGGCCACACTTTTCTCCCACCTGGCTACACCTCTTCCTGTCCCAGGCCTACATAAGTCTTGGCCAGGGGGTGGGTCTTCCCTTTTCAGCCATGCCTCTCCACCATGCAGTTTGGTAAATAAGCTTCTTTTCCTGCCTGAATACCACCTGGTGTTCTCTTCATTGGCTATCTAATAAAACCTACCTAGTTAGTATACCTTACAGTGTCCTTAGGCTTTGAGGGCCTAAGAAGTTTGGGACTGGTTTAGTCTAACGCATCATCTGTTGTAAGTTACAAAATACATCTCTGTGTTTTATCCCAACACAGAGCAAGCATTAAAAGTTCTATTCATTAGCATCTCATGAATGCTATCCTCACGTTCGGACGACTGAATTCCTGCACTGCCTTTACTGCGGCGTGGTGGTAGTGCTTTCCTGTAGGTGTGGAAAGATGACAGACAGGTTGAGATTTCTTCTCCTGTGATTTGTAGCTGATGCATTGCTTCCAAATTATTGATACAGGATTTTTTTCTTACCCCAAGGAAATAGATTACAATCTATTCTAGACTAGAGGATAAAGCAAATTTGTGACCGATTGTATTTCATGCCTCCAGGGACCCTTGATTTTGGAACTGGGGAAGTGGGGATACCGTAATGTCATACAACTCAACAGGCTCAGCCCAGAGCAGTTCATCAAACAAGGCTGACAGCCATAGCATACAGTCAGCGGTGGACTGTCGCTCATAATCCTGCCTGTTTCCTCTCCGCCGTGCCTCAGTTATTCTCATTGTCTTCAGACATTTTCATGTACTTTTGTCTTTACGTTTAACTTCATGGTTGACATAACAATCATCATTTATAGAGAGTACCATCTGACGTTTTGGTACATATATCTGTTGTCGAATGAGAAAAATCAGACTCAGCTTACCCATTGCCACAGATACTTATCATTTCTTTATGATACGAACTTTTAAAGTTTGTCTTCTTTGGTACCACCAGTATTTGAACTCAGGGCCTTGTACTGTCACGATCAGCTTGTCTGCTCATAACTGGCATTCTACCACTTGAGCCATGCCTCCAGTCTATGTAATTGGAGATGGAAGTCTTGCAGATTTTTTTCAGCCAGGGCTGGCTTTGATTTCAGCCTCCTGAATGTCTAGAATTACAGGTGTGAGCTACTGATAACCTAGCTTGTATTTTAGCTCTGAGATAGTATCACCCTTACTTTTTCTACACTAGCTTAGAGCTAGTGATCCACCTGTCTCCTCTCCCCTTTGTGTAGATGGAATTATAGTTGTATACCACCACACCTGGTTCTAAGATCTTTCCTATAGTTACTCTGACATTTAAGCAGTCCATTGGTGTGAACTGTAGTTATGGTAACTGTGATAGAACACCAGAACTTATTCTTTCTATCTAAAACTTTGTCCTCATTGTCCAGTGGTGTTCTTTCCCTGCCCACCCTCCACCGCCACCTCGGCTTAGCTCTGATAACCTCCACATTTCTCTCCATTTCTGCGAGTCCCACTGTTTTGAATTCTAATATTCCGTCTGTGAATGGCTTCCTTCACTTACAATGATGTTCTCTGATTTTATCCCGCTTATTATGCATGACAAAATTTACTATTTATTTACTAAGAACAAATAGCATTACACTGTGTATATATTCAACATTTTAAGACATCACTCCTAAGGTAATCACATACATTCTTTCCTTGGTCGTTGTGAATAATGCTGCGATGAACAGTAGAATGCAGACATCTCTTGCCGTACTTGAGATAGTACTGAGATAATTTTCTTTTGGTTTATTGCAAGGAGTAGGGTTGCTGGAGTGTATGGTATATTTTGGGGGGTATAATTCTATACTTTATTTGTAATTAGCTGTTCTGATTTAGATTACCATCCACAAGTTGTCAGCTTAACCGGCTCTCCACATCTTTGCTAGTCCTTGTTATCTTCCAGATTTTAGTCAGTCCAGTCAACCCTACAGGTGTGGAGGGCAGCCTTCACAAGGAGGCTTGTGCTGTGCATTTGTCTTAGTCAGTATACTGAGCATGTTCTCTGTGTACACTGACTTTATCTATCTTTGTCTGAGAAATACCTACTTAAGGCAGGCCCAGGTTGACTAGAAGTGCTTGTTTTCTTCTTACTGTTAGCTCTGTTTCTCATGGGGTTGTTGGCCTCTTATACTGTATGTGATTTGCACATGTTTTCTTCCCGTCTCTGGTTCTCTCTTCACTCTCTTGTTGTTCTCTTTGCTGTGTAGAAGATTTCTCTAGTGTAATACTGTCATACCTGTCTGTTTTTTATTTTTGTTGTGAATACTTTGAGCATCATATTCAAGAAACCAGTACTCAGACCAAGGCCGTGGACGATTGCTTAAGAATAGTTTCTTTTAGTAAATTCTTGTTTGGGTCTGACTTTTCAGTTCTTAATTCATTCTGAGTTGATTCCTGTATAAAGGAGAGAGAAGGATTCTTTTTCACTCTTCTATATCGGGATATCCAGTCCAGCATCATTTATTGAAGAAATTGAACTTCCAAATTATATATTCTTGGCACTTGGGTTGAAAAGTCCATTGATGATGGTCAGGTGGGTTTATTTCTGGGCTGGCTGTTTTTCCTATTTAACGGTTCAGTGTGCACAGACTCAAAAGCTTTGTCCCTTCCTTTTCTGTCACCATCAACACACACACACACACACACACACACACACGGACAGGAACAATCCCCATATCTGGCTTGACTTTGAGATCCACCTCTTCTGGGAAGGTATACTCTGTGTGCTCACATGGTAAAGGCCTGCTCTTCTGTGCCTCAGGTCCCTGCAGGGGGTGAAGCAGAGAGCAGCCCCCAGTGGAGGACAAGTTTAAGAACTTCCCTGGGGTCAAACCACATTTCATGTCCTCAGACGCATAGAATCATCAGGGTACCATGCATCTTAAAACTCTCAGCATATTGAAAATAGGATTGCACAAATCATACCACTTGGACAAATGAGCAATCAAGCACATCTAACAAAGTAGATCTATACATTTATATATATATATATATATGTGTGTGTGTGTGTGTGTGTGTGTGTGTGTGTGTGTGTGTGTGTGTGTGTGTATTTAACAAAATACATAAAAATGCAACAAGGAAATCAAATATATTATAGTATTATGACTAATAATAAACAAAAGCGAACAAATAAGAAAATGTGAAAACGAAACAAAAGACAAAATAATAAAGGGTGACTCTTGATTTAGAAGCCCTGGGCTCCTGAATGGACAGGTTAAGTGGTCGTCCACTCACACAACCCTTTGAAGTTCAGAAAATTAAAAATACTAAAAGTGAATGTAAGATACATGGAACAATTGAAACTCCTCGAATAGCTCCATGAATATCTGATGCCAAAGAAGTCCCATTGGCTTCACGAGAATGTCTGTGGGTTGGGAGTGCTGTCCACCAGGCCTCTACCATGTGTGCTAGCGGCTTGTGGCCCTGGGTGGAGGGGGAGGGTATGGAGGGTGGAGGCTGAGCAGGGGCTGGGGAAAGGCGAGGGGTGAGATGGGGGCGGGGGCCTCCAGCCGCCAGCTTGGAGAAATGGTCATGGGTTTGTTGTTTGCTTAATACATTGAACCGTGCACATTTCACCGTGTGACTCTGCTATGGACTAGAAAATGAAAGGTTTCAGGGCAGATGCCCAAGTGACTTGCCCTGACAGGGTGTGAGGTTTAAGTTGGATAATGCACATGGTTACCTGTGTGTTTCAGAGACTGTACAGGACTTAAAGCACTAAATGAGCCATTCCTGAGAGAGAGAGAGAGAGAGAGACAGAGACAGAGAAAGAGACAGACAGAGACAGAGTCTATGCTAACCACTAGTTATAGCTAGAACTCTCTCCCTCTCCCTCCCTCTCCTTTTCCTTCTTCCCCTCTTTCCCCACTTCCCTGAGTACAATAAATAAGCCACACACCCCAGGGATGAGGGTGATACAAAGGATTGGGAGTTGGAGTTGTTATCTGACACTAAAAATTTAGAAAAAACTGGCTAAAGAGAAAATTAAAGGATGTAATAAAGAAGTAACAGGCAACAGGAAGAGAGCGTAAGTATATAGGAGCCAAAGACACAGAGTGATTTTTTAAAATGACCTTTAAGTAGTTG